GGTTCCAGCACCCAGTCAGGCCCCCATTCTCTGCAGTCCTGGGCTCTGGAAACCTTACTTCCTCTGTAATTTCTCAGCCTTAAATATAAGAACATTTGCTGAAGTGCTAATCTTTGCATGACATTATTGTCCCCTTTTGGCTCTGTGAGTTCTTTCAACCTCTGCAGCACCAAAGCCCTGTGTTAAATTCTCTCTGTTTGAAAGACCTGAAGCGGTTTCCATCTTCCTGACTGAACCCCAGTTGACATGCCCCACATGTCTACATCCATAATGGGTAGACGAGATACTCCCAGGACTTTCACGGATTCCTCCTCAGCATCCTGGTTGTGCTATCTCGGGCACACTTCCCCGGCTTGGATCCTACCTGATAATAACTTCTGAAGTTTACTGATCATTTTATGTGCTTTGCAAACATTACCCATAATTATCGCACCTAACAGAGGGGGCTATACAATATTTTAAAATATTAATTGACAATACTAAGGCACATAGTGATTCCAAGGAGGAAAGTCTGGATTGGAACCAAGGCCTCTCTGGCCCCTCACCAACCTCTTCCCTCTACTCTCCTGCATTCTCTTTCCTCTTATCTCTCTGTGCAAAGGCCTTTGGGGCTCCTTGAGCTGTGCTTTCAGACCTCCTTTCTTGTCTCCTTGCCTCCCCTCCCTCCCTCCCTCCCTCCCTCCCTCCCTCCCTTCCTTCCTTCCTTCTTTCCTTCTTCCTAAGATGTCTACCTTTAAAAAGAGGCCTCCTACTTCCTGCCTTCAAAGGGACTGAGTTCTGACCACTTGGTTACTAAAGATGGGAGTTCTTTTCTACTGTCTCAGATCTTGCTAGGTCTAGCAAGCCCAGTAACTCAACCCTCTCCTACGGGTCTGACTTTCACCTTGGCTTGGTTGTCTCCCCTTAGCTGGGCCTCTTCCCACTTGGAGAATCTTCTACTACTTGCATAACAAAGAGTGCTGACCAACTCCCCTCTGATGGGGGTGCAGCTCCTGCGAGGTAAAATGAGAGAGGATATTAGAAGCTTAACAGACATCCTGAGGACATCTGCTTTAAAGATTATTTAGGAATGAACTAGTTACCATATCAATGGCTGAAGTGCTAATACAGACATTGGATATTCCAAGACAGAGCTGCTTCTCCTCTGCACCCTCAAGGTTTGTCTGACAGTACTCATTTACACTCTCGGCTAGTTTGGGGACCTTTTTGGTTGTTGTTGTTCTGAGCTTGGAACCCAGGGCCTCATACACACTAGGCAAGAGCTCTACCACTGAGCTATGGCTCCAGCCGTGATGAACTGTTTTGAACAATCTGTGCAAAGATAAATTTCAGTCCCAAAAGGTCAGCACTTAAACACAATTTGAAAAACAAACTGATAATGTCAAATTGTTGGCATCCAGATACCCATTTTCTTTCTTTTAGATTTGGCTATCAAGGCAAAGGTAGAAATGGAGAAAACCAACACTGAGATTTTTTTTTTTTTTTTTTAAGGAAGAACAGGTACATTTACTAAGTCTGTGCAATTTGTCAAGCCCCGTGCTCAAGGCCCCAAATGCCTTATCTCATTTAATCCTCGTAACAATCCCCAGTGGTGGTTTCCAGTACAGTTATGGCCTCCATGTTACAGACGAGGCAACTGAGTCTCAAACAGATTAAGAACCCTGTCCCCAGGCTTTGCTGGAGGAGGCAGGTGTCACCTGCCAGCTTATCCACGGGGCTGTACCCTTAACCAGCATGCCACCTGTCTCCCCTTACTGGCCAGTCCCCAGTTCCCGCCTGGCACGTCTCTCCTCAGCAGTTTGGCCCTGAATACACTTCAGGATAACTTCCTTCATTGTGATAAGCAGGGCCCACGATCTCTGACAGCTGTTCCCCGCTCTTCATCATCATCTGAAACAATCAGTAAGCATTAGAGAGTACTTTTCCCTTTACAAAGGTGATAATTAGATAACAAGCTGAGATTAAAGTAATTACAGTTAGACAGCTGGCGAGGCAGCACAGTCATGTTGAAATATTGTTGGTACTTCAGCATCTGGTTCTAATAACAGCATAGGCTAAAGGATTTTACATTAATTACAGAACATAATTTAATATAAACATATTTAATTACAATTGATGAGCGATAAACTCTTCAAGAATGACTTAACCCCTTCCGTGTGTCAAAGTGATGGGAACTCTTGGGCAGCCTGTGGCCTGTTCCGCTGTCTTGCTCCCCCTCCCTAGCCGGCCCTCCACCACTCCCTGGCCCACTCTCCTGGAGAAACCCCCTCAAGGAAGGAAGGTTCTAGGCCAGGAGGTTTCTGGGGAGCCCATGGGTGTTTGGCTCAGGCACAGCCCCGACCACCCTGGGAAACCAGGAGAAAAGGAGAGCGACGTGCAGCTCAGGCTGGGATGCGGCACTGCGGCCTCAGCCACTGCTGTCCTCCTGGGCCAAGAAGGCAAGTTCATCCTCCTGGCCTGATGGTCCCCGCATTCTTTCTCCTCCATGGCTTTGCTTCTGACAGTCCATGAGTGGCCTACTAAACAATTCTCAGATCTCTCAGAAAACATTTAAAGGTAGTCCATCTTCTTTACAAAATCATGAACAATGAGTCCCTGGGCACAATATTCAGGGTATTTTCACCATTTGAAGGTCAGTATGTCCTAACATCTAGACTTCTACCTGGGAAAAGACACTATTCAGGCAGGAATTCTCCCTTACAAACTGCCAAAACCTCCATCTCTACCTCCCAAACTGGCAGAAGTAGACCTTGGTAAAAAGCAGTTGATAACAAATTCGGATCCCACAGAAATCATCTCCACTGGATAAAGGACTCAACCATTCTCAACATGGTGTTTGCAGACATCCCTTCTTAAATGAGAGACGTTCCAAAGCCACAAAAAAACCGACACCAGCTGTATTGAGGTGACTTAAGAGTTCACCCAAAGAAGGTCCAAGGCTGACTGATCCTAAGAAAGATTGCATAGCCCCGTATGCATTAGAAAATTCACCATCAAATTTCCCCACTTGACAAATGATGGGTAATTAAACTTCAAATACTGATTTTACCTTTTGCTGTGGATTTTTAAAGTACAAAGCACACATTCTCCTCAAAGCCAAAATGAGTGCTGCAAATGACAGTTTATGATTCACAGGTAAGCAAGCGTAACCTGCTTTCTAGAGGAATTACTGACAGATGCACAGAAAGGGAAATAAGTGTGCAGACTCAGGACCAAGCCGCTCACAAGAAACAGGCACTCTCCAAGTGGAGGTTGTACCACACATGCCCTTTTGAAAAAAAGAAGCAGGGTTGGCTGAAGATGTAGCTCAGGGATAGAGAGCTTGCCTAGCAAGTGTGAGGCCCTGGGTTCCATCCCCAGCACTGGAAAATAAGAAGAAGAAATTGAAGCAAATCTGCAATCTGAGTGAGAACTCTAAGGTATTTTCGATAGATTAAGCACTCCTTTGGAAGTGAGGGAGGGACCAGAATGAAAAGACTCCAAAAGATGTCCACCACAAAACTTGCACACAAAATGTTCACAGTGGTATTATTTATAACAGCCAAAAGAGCTAACAATTCAACTAAAGAGCTAACAATTCAACTGTCTTATCAACCGATTAATAAACAAATGGTGGCATATCCACACAATGGAATAGTATTTAGCCATATAAAGGCACAGAGTACTAGGAGATGCCCTAACATAGATGAACCTTGAAAACATCATGCTAAGTAAAAGAAATTAGGCACCGAAGACTACAGACTGTGTGATTTCACTTCTAGGGAATGTCTGTAATAGGCGAATCCATAGAATTAGAAAGTAGATTAGTGGTTGTCCATGGGTGGGAAGAGAGGGGAATTGAGAGTGAGGGCTAACAGATATGGGACTACCTGTTGGGGGTGATGAAAATATTCTGGAACTTGATGGTGGTAGTGATTGCATAACATTTACTAAAAGCCATTGAATTGCATAGTTTAAAATGATTAAAATATTAAATTAAATTTTATCTCAAAAAATGTTTTTCTTTTAAAAGCTACCAATCTAGGTAATAAGTTTAATCCCACCAGGGAATCCCAGGAACCTGTGTAAAGTATACACCACAGGGTGATCTCACTCAGAGGGGAGGAAGCTGGGAATTTATACACTGACTCCCACCAGCCAGTAGTTGAAGGCTGATTCTGGAAAGGCACCCATTCCTCGGCATTTCTGGTCTGGCTGCAAAAGGGATTCCGGTGGCAGAGAAAGTCCTTAGGCAAGAAAATGTCGATACTGGCAATTGCCAGCCAGATCCAAGAGCACTGACAGTCTCTGTTACCCTCTCACAGACTTGCTTTAAGATGAGTATAAAACGCTTCACAGAGCTGGACTTAATTCTTGATAAATGTGAGTTATTTTTAGGGGCGACTCAACACGGGCTCAACAACTTGATCAAACCACACAGCTAATGCAAGGTTGGTTATTTACATAAGTCTCTCTATAGGACACAGTCTTCCATATACAGAATTAAATTAACCAAATACATACGCACCAGTCTTGCAAACACACCAATCAGAAGGCAATTGTTATCAGCATTCAGAAGACACAATGTGCATCTTCACATCTTGCCTCCCTCTCCCTGTTAGATGTCCTCAGTGGAGGAAGCAGCTGTTTTTCTCACAAAAAGGCCTTGAGGGTTGATGTTAATATCTGCTCAAGTTGCCCAGCATGTGAACGTGATGTGGTTTATCGTGTCAGTTCTTTGAGACTCAAAGCCTGTGCATTTGCTGACGATTTAGTGCAAAGAACCAAGATACACGAACACCTGAGACTTCAGGAGACGCACTGCAACACAGTCCTCACTCACATGTAGGTCCTTCTGTTCTCCCAAGGAATAACCTGAGCTACAGGACTCTCTACAAAAAAAGTTGGGCATGCAGAGAAAAATGGAGGGATATCGTCCCAGGATGCTCTACTTGAATTCCCAGCCAAGGATGCCTTAGAGGGTCAAAGTGAGGCTCTGGAGCTGCAGAACCCATGCTTACCTGATCAGGTAATGGTTGATAATGGTGTCGAAGTAGCTGTAGTACACGACATTGTTCACGTGCCCATACTGGTCATTGTCCTGCCATCTTGTCTGGATGGGCAAGAAGTACCCGTAGGCCTTGTGCTGCCGATGACAATCCTCATGTCTCTGGATCTTGGATGAAGTAGCCAAGGAACAGGCATTTCTAGGAAGCATCCTGGAGACCCAAGAAGCCATAGTGCCCGCTGCTTCGGAGAGGACCTTCAGTGAGAAAGCAACAGTGGATAAGAAGGTTTTTTTTAGAGAACTGGATTTTAGTTTTGCAAAAGCAACTACATTGAATGTTGGCCACAGGTTCCAAAAGAACATTAGGAAATAAATCTGCCTTATAATCCAGGTCCTTGTCACAAACTTTATGAACCTTTTTAAAGAACTCCTTACTAAAAAGATTTCTGGCACACACTGCCAGAAGCAGGTGAAGCCTCTGTCTGAATTTTACCAGGAGGAATTTATAGTATGTTGATATGGAGGTGTTTTATTCCATGAAGTATTTTCAGTGAGCTGAAATCTACAAGTCCCTAAGAGTAGAAAAACATAGCTCAGAGCATCAGCGTAAGGTGTTTACCAGAAGACACTATCAAGAGGGCCTGTCAACAGCTAAGTTTTTTCCAAAAGTAAATTAATTTTTTAACAAATCATGCTCTATAGAGAGACATTTAAATATGCATCTACAAAGGGAAGAAAATCCAACAACCCCCAAATACTCGGTATTAACAATTCCATGTATATTATTCTAGTTTTATATACATAAGTGTACATTTTTAATAGGATCCTGATGGGATCAGACTGTCTGTGTTGTTTTATAATCTCCTGTTCTAAATAGTAAATCACCAATGTACTTAGATATTCTCCATCTTCTGTAGCATTAAATTCCATTATATTCATTGCATTGATGCACCAGAATTTCTCAAATCCCCTATTGTTTCATATTTAGGACTTTTATTCCCATTTTGGTCACGGGAAAGATCTTTACCAATAAATCTTCACGTGTATTCATGATTATTTTCTTAGGATAAATTCCGAGATGCAAAATTGCTGGGTCAAAGGGCAAATGAAGTGTTAAGGCTTTTGGTATAAATTAATGCCTTCCAGAGAGGTGGTACCAATTTATCCCCACCCCAGCAGCGAATGAGCAAGCCAATTTCCCTGTCAATTGTAAAATGCTTTGTCAATTTGACTGTGTTCTCTCATTTCCATACAAATTTAATGAAATGTGCTAAGTGGAAAGATGACTGCTGCTACTAGCAATGATGGAATAACTAGTATCAGAATAACCCCTCTGTTTGAGAACAACTACGAAAGCCAGATTAAGCATAAAAGAAGAGCTGTCGGAAGGTACTGAGAAATAATGAAGGCAGCAGGACTTTAGAGGCTGCATTCCTGGGGGCAGGGTGACACACGTGGCATTTGCCACTGCTGCTCCTCATTGGGGTATTTGCCAGTTGCCACATGGGGAATAAAGGCTGAAGAGAGAGCAGCAATTCGGCTCTTGTGTGGTCTTGCTGCACTGGAAGAGGAGACAATTCTGAAAGGCCTATACCATCCTAGAGAAAAGCGCGTTAGAGAAGCGAGCCTGATACTGCATGCAGCTCCCTCTCAGGCACCTGAAGCTCCTCAGCAGCTCTGAACAAGACAGAGAAAGCAGCAAGCAACCGTCACGAAACTGAAAGTCTATGGAGAAAATAGGAGTCTCATAGTGCTGAGGACACAGAAATCAGCTTGCAGAGCTTCTGAGAAGGACAAAATCCTCAGCAAAACTAGCAATAAAGTGAAAAGACATCCCTCCAAACAGGAAAAATATTTACAAATCACATACGTGATAGAAACCTAGTATTCAGAATATATTAAGAACTTTTACAACTCAACAATAAAAGGACAAATAATCCCATTAAAAATTGGGTAAATGAAACAGACATTATTATTACTGTGTGTATATATGTGAATGCATGACCAATGTGATTCTGCAACCTGTATACTCAGAAAAATGAGATATTATATCCCATCTGATTCAAATGTATGATATGTCAAGGTCATTGTACTGTCATGTGTAACTAATTAAAACAAATTAAAAAATAAAACTATTTAACTTAAAAAATAAAAAAAAATATTTGGGTAAAGAACTATTGTGTTCCTTTTCCCCTGCTACCTGAAAAGGGCTACTTCTTCAGAGTAAGTACAAATCTCAAATTGACCTACGTTAGCTCTTTTTTTTTTTTTTTTTTTTAGGGGGAGGTTTGAACTCAGGGGCACTTGACCACTGAGCCACATGCCCAACCTTATTTTGTATTTTATTTAGAAACAGGGTCTCACCGAATTGTTTAGTACCTTGCTTTTGCTGAGGCTGGCTTTAAACTCATGAATCTCCTGCCTCAGCCTCCTGAGCTGCTGGGATTACAGGCGTGTGCCACCATGCCTGGCACTTATAACAGCTTTGATCAAGGTTAAAGGTATCTGAACCATGCCACTTGTCATTCAGCAGAAAACCAAATTCTCTCTAGCAGAACATAATAGATAGCTCCAGAATCTCTGCAACTTTTTATATACAGGATCTGGCATTCAACAAAAACCTACAAGGCCTACCAGGAAAGAAATATACATGACAAAAAAATCCAAAGGAATTTTTAAAATTCCAATGAAAACAGCCCCACAGACTCAGATTTTAAGGTAACTATGATTAAAATGCATCAGAGATTAAGAGTAATATCCTTCCTACCACATGAAGAATTCTAAAATGGGGGGGCGGGGTGGATGTCAAAACCTTCACAGAAAACTAAGCAAAAGCCACAAGCAGACAAGGCACAAGTTCTTTGAACATGAAAAACTGAACAACATCTTTCATAATAAGAGAAATGTAAATTCTAAGTACATGGAGATACCATTTCTCAAAATTATCAGATTTGGTACACATTACACAGCTTGATAGCAGCCTATATTGATAGGGCCTTTGAAAGGGCCTTGGAAGGCCCTATGGATACATTGTGGGTAGGAAGGTCTCAATCTTTAAGGAGGGTAATGTGACAATGTTTACTAAAGCCATGGTGAGTTTTAGCCCTCAACTCACAATAAGAATACACCTTGAAGATGAACCACACAAAAATACCTATGACAAGATGCACCACTGTTAGTAATGGGAAAATACTGGGGGAAAACATCTATAAGAGATTTGGTTGAATAAGGTATAGAACACTCCCACAATGAATATCACATAGCAGGAAAGAGACTAAAGAAGATGTGAAAAGGAAAAATCAAAGTGCAAAAAAATATATAGTATGTTATTTTGTGTAAAAAGAAGGGGAATTAAGATAACATAAATAAATTTTCTGTACTTCTATTTACAAAATAATAACTCAGGAAGGTTGAAGCAGAAACCAATGAACCAGTATTAACAAGGTGGATAGAGGAGGAGAGGAGAGAAACACTGTTCTGAATACGCCTTTTTATGTCATTTTGAGTTTTGGAACCATGTTAATGTTTTGGAAGAAGATGATGATGATGTCAAATTTATGATGAAGAGTGGAGAAAACCTAAAATGGAATATAAACAGAAACAAATGAACTTTACTGGATTTCAAATGAATCTCATTGACGGGGAAAAATAACTATTTTTGACTATACACCTTCAGTCTAAAGACACAAAGATCTGTTAACAAATTGAACAATAGCTAGAAGCTTTTTGTGTTTTTTTTTTATGTTCTGTTTTGTTTTGTTTTCAATAGTAATAGGGTTAGCAATTCTTAGTCTGCTTCTTGTGACTTGAAGCCCAGACAAGTGAGTAAATACAATGAGGTTTGAATGAACCAGGTTTCTCACCTGCAGAAAGAACTTGCAAATACTGTACAGAAAAAAGCAAGACTAAAATGAATCTTCTGGTGTTAGAGAGAATTTGAGAGTGTTGATATGAACTCACAGATTCAAGACAGAGATTTTGGAGATAAGATCCCCTAGTTCTGTTGAGCCTAGACCCAAAGGCACTCCAGTAGCCCTTAATGTCCAGATTTTAATTTCTAAATGCCATTCTCCACAAAAGGGAACCAAAGCTCTTTGAAGAAATGACTGTTTCAGACATTGAGGCAGAGAAAGTAGCATCCTGTCAGAAATGCTCAAAGATCATGAGGTATGCCAAAAGTTCAAGGAGCCCATGTCATGGGCTCCCATTGGCTCCATCTGGAACCGTTGAACATCAAATTCAAAGAAAAAGACTTTCAAAGCAACAAGAGCCAATGGAATTATCCAATGGAAACAACAGAGGACAGCACAAAAGAATGACATTTTTCAAGTACTCAAATCATTACAGAGCTAGAATTTTATGCCCAAGGAAACTATTCCTCAAAAATGAAAAGAAAGCCGTAGTTTTGAGATGAGCAAAACAGAAAATTCATCCTGAGTCGACCTATAATAAGAGAAATGCTAAAAGGAGCTCCTTAGGCAAGAGAAAAAATATTCCCAATGAAAGAATAATAATGCAGAAAATAAAAGCAATGGAAAGGGTAGAGAAGTGAATAAATTTGAATTAATATTGACTATTTAAAATGGTAACAAAAATTCTTCTGTGCTTTAGAGATATAGAATTAAAATTTCCCATATCAGTAGCAGAAGAGATAGGAGAGTACATTTGGTTCCAGTGCTATAAGGTACCTGCATTTTGGGGCAAGTGATAACAATCCTAATTCAACAATGATTACAATAAATTAAGGATTCATGGCATAACCTCCAAGATAGTACCCTAAATAGAAAAAAAGTGTTTAACAATCTCAACCCTAAAAAAGAAATATTTGAGGTAAAAGAAAAAAATAATGAGACCAACAAAAAACAAAACAGCAAGATAAAGGAATTGAGTGAAAATGGTAATAATTACATTAGTAATGATTAAATACTCCAGATAAAAGGCAAAGACTGTCAAGATGAATTTTTTTAAAAATCCATTACTTATAAGAAATACATCTTAAATAGAAAGATGCAGAAAAGTTGGGAATAAAAGGATGGAAGGCATATGTTAATAAGAAAAGAAGGCTGGTATAGATATGCTAGTGGCAGAAAAAAATAGATCTTAAGAAATATTGTTACATTTAAAAGAAGGGCCGTATCCATTTGCTTCTATACTGTCTATCTCTTTGATAAAGATAAAAGGTAATTTCAAAATGAAGATCTCATAACATATCCTCAAACACAAGAAACAAAAATTAAGAAAGCCAAAAGCACATT